AAAAAAAAAAAAAGAATAAAAAAAATGTCAATTTAGAAAACATCAACCTGCATAACCAATGACGGATCGAGGGGGTAGGGGGCGGCCGTACCCTTAAAAATTTGAAAAATATCATGTATTATATTAAAAAATTTAAAATAACTTAAAATTATAAGAGTTCGTATCCCCAATTTTTTTGTAGATAATTTCAAAATTATATAGAGTAATCCCAAATTTTTTAAACTATAGAATAATTCCCCAAAGACATAATTCTAGATCCGTTCCTGTGCATAGTGCTTAATTATATTGTTTGTCAATATTGAAGAAATCAACCTTGATAAATCCTTTTTCAGTCCATAATCTTAGGTTTGAAAAGCAAGTTCTCATCTATTAATAAATTGTAATAGTTTGAACATCCAAACCCTAAAGTTCAAAGTCAAAAGCATCATCTTCACTCTCTATGACTTATTCATAGCTTTCTCTCTTCTCCTCCTCTTTAATGTGTGTTCCATGTTTTGTATTTTTGTATGAGTTATAATGTTGTACTCAAAATTACGTACAATTTTGCTTTATTGAAAGCTGTTAGTTCTTTTTCTTTTTTTTTTTTGACTTTTGGAAGAAGGTTAAAAGTGATTTTTTAACTTTTCACCCATTTTAAATCATATCATCTCTCACATTTTTTACAAGTTTTTTAAAAAAAAGTCAAAAATTAACTTTTAACTATTTTTCCAGAATAATCAAAATAAGTGAAACCCCAACAAAACAAAATCAATAAATATTTCTATTTTGGAGACGGCTTCTCTAGCATACTGTTGGGCCTGTGGGATCTACTACACGTCCCATTTCAATAATCCAAACCATTAAAGATTATTAAAATGGGACTTGTGGTGGCCTCAAGAAGCCCAACAGTATGCTGAAGCCTCTTCCTTTTATTTTTGTACCTCAAAACATTCACAATTGTTAAACAATGTGTCAAGATTTTTATATTTTGATATTTTTACATAATTTAACGATCATAAGAGTATCTCCAAATGACTCTTTAAATGAGGCTTATTAGCTCTAATGGGCTGGCTATTACCATAATTATTTTAACAAAATTCTTCAACTCTAGCAATATTTGAAGAGCCTTGGAAGAATTTTTAAACAGTTTGTGTGTATGAATAGATAAAATAAATAGTAATGTTGGAGTACATAGATAACAAAAGAATTAGACAAAATAAAGAATTATCTTTTTTCTATTTTAATTAGTAAAAAATGAAGAGTATTTTAGTTAGTTAATGTGACAAACATGTGGGCCTCATTTTAATTATAATGAAGCTTTTAATTATGAGAAGTGAGAGAAATTATGGATGGAAAACATCTAAGTCTCTCATTTTTTTTAGTTCGAAGTCGGTTAGCACCATATAAAAATTCTAAAAAAATCTACATATCATTCTATTCCCACTATTTCTTTTTCTAAAAAAATTCTTAAAAAAAAGGTATATTATCTCCTAATTATTTCTTTTTCCCATCCAAAAGTAATAAATAATAATTTTTTTTTGTCACATCCTAATTAAACATATCATTCTATTCCATCTATTTAATTATTTATTTCATGTATTTATGAAATTAAGATATTACTTATCCTTATAAATTTATCATATATCCAATCTTTAATGTAATCTAATTTTTATAATTATTGTTATTATTTTATCAAAAATCTCATTCATATCCAAATTAAATTAAAAACAATCCCATGCCCTGAAAGTGTATAAAGAGAGAACAATAGCTTTACTCGAATTCTAGCCGTCGATGTCCTCAATGATGAGGATTAAAGCTCCATGACGGTTCAATTTAACGGTGAAGATCAAATAAGAGTTTGATTTTTCTTAGATTCGCAATTTAACTTGAGAGTATTTGGAGTTAGTATTGTGAGTCCAATTTCGATGATTTAAATCGTTCATCTTTTAGTATCAGTAGATAAGAATATATGTAAAAAATTTTAAAATAATTGAAATTCAGTAACTATATATTTATATCACATTTATCCTTAAAAAATAGATAATAAATATAATTTTAAAAATAATTATTTATTTTTTAAAAACAATTGCTTTTTAAACATATATCTACTACAATCTAATCATTTTAAACTTTTACATAACTACTCTTCATAATAAATTTTAAAAAATAAATAATTAAAATAACCGAAATTTGGCTTACAACAGACCTATCACATCCACAAGCTCTCTCGAATCCCGAAGATGAAATAACCAAACCCATTTGGCTTACAACAGACCTATTACATCCACACGCTCTCTCGAAACCCGAAGATGATGGGTGATTATTCAGTACTTCCGGAGTATGGACACATGGTACTCCATAAGGTTTTGATTGGTGGAGAGACACAAGAACCCACGATTAATGTTGGAAATGGAAGGACAACATGAGGCTAACTAATTGGTGATTAGTTTAGAATATGGACACATAATGCTCCGGAAGTATTGAATAATTTCCCGAAGATGAAATAACCAAACCCATCAAGTAATAAGGAACACTTGAAGTACAAGTCATCGCAACTTTTGGCTTTGAACACGGAAGAGGTCGCTTCTTTCTTCCATCCTAGAATTTACGTTAGGAGGTCGCTTTTTTGGGGGAAACATATTTTGGTTTCGTCTATAAATAGCTTTCCACTCGCCTCTTCTACTCTCATCAACCCTAAGCTTCCCTCAATTCAAACAAACTCATCTTCTTTCTCTCTCTCTAGCTCTGGAAGAGAGAGAGCGAGCTTACTCACATACTAATGGCGACACCAGTAGAAATCTCAACTCTCGAACTCATCGAACAACACCTCCTCGGCGACTTCTCTCCTGTTGACAGCTACGATATTAATAGCCTCAGCGACACCAGCTCGATTTTCACAGCATTCGATTCTGCAACCAGTGTTCAAACCGAGGGTTCAAGCTCTCAATCTTATTCCTTCTGTTCACAGACTTTAAGCTCTGACTCTACCATCGCAATCTCTGATTACCTGGACTCGAACCAAGTTAACAATACTCGAAATTTTGATTTTGTCCATAACTCGATCAATTTCGAGCAAAATCAATTTAATTACTTTGGATTTGAGTCTAAACCTCAAATAATCGATCTCACTACACCGAAACCAGTGAATTTGAACACTCAGACAAGTTCTAGATCGAGCTTCAGCGAGCGTAAGCCGTCGTTGAAGATTGACCTAGCTCCGGTCAAGAAATTGGAGTGGTTGGATTTCCGCCAACCAACTAAGCCAGCAGTTTCCGAAGAGAAACCGTTTAGTAGGCACTACAGAGGCGTCCGGCAAAGGAGGTGGGGGAAGTTCGCGGCGGAGATCAGAGATCCGAAGCGGCGAGGGTCTAGGGTTTGGCTAGGGACATTCGACACCGCCATTGATGCCGCCAAGGCCTACGATCGAGCCGCATTCAAGATGCGTGGGAGCAAAGCCATTCTCAACTTCCCACTCCAAGTAGGAAATTGGCGTCACTCCTCCTCCGCCGGCACGAAGAGGCGGAGAGAGGTTAAAGAACAAACAGAGGAAAGGTCTGTGAAGAAGGAGAGGTTACCGGAATCTGAAGCATCGGTGGTTAGTAGTGCAGCGAGTTGTTCTTTAACGCCGTCTAGTTGGACAGCCCTGTGGCATCAAAATGCAGATGGTATCTTTGACGCCGCGCTGTTATCGCCGTTATCTCTTCACCCTTTGTTGGGCTATTCACAAGTCATGGTCATTTAAAGGAGTAGTTTTTTCGTGAGTCGTTCTAGTTTTGGATGTATATAGGGAATGCCGTGAGGAATCGGAAACGTTTTACAAATGACAAACCATGTTTGCAGAGAAAATTGTCCACGTGGTTTGAAACGGCAATGCTTTGATTATGAGGGGAAAAAAATGTATTATTAGTTGATTTGAATTTATATAAACTTGAACATGATTTTGTCTTTAAAATTATGTCGATTTGATAAGTGTAAATTGTTTAATTTTTTATTAAAAAAATAAATAATAATTGTGTTTTTAAAAATAAATAGTCACAAATGTAATAAATTGAACAAATTATAGTTATCGAATCAACTTTTTTTTTTTTGAACGAAATACACGAACTGTCCGACAAAATAAACGGTTTGAATTATCAAAACAACACCTGTAATGGACTCACAGACCCAAACATCGCACTATATAGTCCAAAATTTGGACTGAAGGGAGCCTCCCCCATTAATTTTTTGAAATATTTTTTCACAAGTATTTTACTTTTTAGATACATTTAAATAAGGTGCATTTAAAAAAGTAAAAAAAATACTTAAAATTTAAAAAATATTTACTAAAAATAAAAAATCATGGAAAATAAAAAATTTAATTTTCATAGAAGTGAAAGCAAACGCATTGATTTGTTTTTTTGGTGGTATGTCATTGAAACTTAATTAGCAGTACTAGTGGGCGTTCGGCAAAAATTATGTTAGTAGGCTCAGTGGTTCAGTTTTTTTTTTTTTTTTTTCCAAGCCAAAAAAAGGAAATTTATTAATAAAAATTAATATGCATATAACACTAGACAAAATTAATAAAGAAAATGCAAACACATAAAGTATCAAAGCAAAGTTAATCAATGATAGTACACAACATTTTCAAACAAATAATTTTACATTTCATGCTATTTGTTATGGGTATAAACGATTAATTTAATGAACATTAATTTAATCATTTACCATTTTATTACAGCCTTTTTTTTAAAACAGTTATATATATACATGATGCCACCATCTCCACTGCATTTTCATTATTGCTTTGAATAGTTATACAAGAATTTTTATTCTATTTTTTTAAAATCCAAACTTATACAATAATTTGAGGTAGATTATACTCATTTTGGTTAAGATCGATCTTCACTTCTCAATAGTTTCACAAATGTCTTCCAGTACTGGAATGAACTTCCTAAAAGACAAACGAACCCTTGTCTCAATCTAAATATGTTTCATGACTGATGTGGTTGTCACTCTACAATCAAAATTATGATTTGTTTCAAATAATTACGGAAAAAGCATATCACTACAACATTTTTCTGGACTTCATTAAATTTATATTAGTATGACTATATGATATGTCAACATGAGATTGTTCTTGGGATTCTTTTCTTCAACTGATCTCGAAACTGAATGATTCAGAAGTTTTGAGGAATTCCTAAGGGCTGGGCTCATTAAAATAAGTTTCATTTCTTTGATTCCATTAGGTATTAGGTATATTCCTTTTACAAAATTAAAAATTAAAAAGAATAGAGAGAGTCAATTTTGAAGATATCAACCTATAATTACCCACATAACTATTCTGGCTACTTATTAATTTAAAAGAGCTATCTCACTACAGCAAGAAACTATCATGTGCTAGAGAAAAAGGTTAGGTGTTGTTTATAAGCAGAGGAGTGTGATTAGCCTGTGTTTTCAGCCTCATTTAACTTGTAATGTAGAGGGGCTATCTAGTGTGTCTTTTTATTTTCTTGTTGCTTGCTACTGCTTTCTTGCTCTGTTGGATTGGTGGGTCAAGTGTTAGCGAATGGTTGCACTTACTTCTAAGTTGTGATCGTAGAGTGTTAGCTATAATACTTTGTGCACTTTCCTCCTTTATTGATGTAAGTTGTGCTTGTAATTTGCTTCTTTCATCAATAAAATTTTCTCTTTTGTCGATTAAAAAACAAGAAACTATCATGTGTTTGAATTATGGATTTGAATAAGGTTTTGGAAAAAGAAAGAAAAAAAAAAGTAGGCAAAATGTTAATAAATTATAATTTTATTTTACATACTTTGTACACACTATTTCCCCCTTCATTTCCAAATCTCTATCCAATTTTTTTTTTTTTTTTTTGCCAAAAGAAAATAACTTTATTGATGAAATGAAACATACATCACATATGAGATCACATTAATAAAAAGGGAGCAAAAGCAAAGAACATCATAGAGTAAGTTCCTAATCAACTAGGTTGGCACCATAAAGAACTTCCAATTATATGCTAGCTCGCCAATAGAGTTAGTGAAAAACCAACAGAAAAAGGAAAATAGAGAAGAAAAAAAAAAAAAAAACTAGCCAAAACCACAACAGCAGCAACTGAAAGTTCTGCTCTGCAAAGAGAACTTGACTAGCAAATGCAGACCAATCTCTATCCAAATTTATGAACTGAATACAACTGAATCAGACTATTGTTAAAATGGGGTCAGAAAAAGGACAAGCATTTTATCTCCCTCTTGATAGAAAATATATTTTGTGTCACAAATTGGTGCCACTAGGGTTTTGATTAATTTCAAAAATTAAAGAAAGTTCCATGTCTTTTTTTTAAGTGTGAGAGGTTGTTTGAGTGAGCTAAATAAGTTTGGTTTTTTGGTTTTTTTTTTTTCTAAATAAGTAAAAAAGTCAAAAGGATGCTTGTCATAAAAAGAAGAAGAAGATTAAAAATTTACTCAACTTTTGCACTTAAAAAAAATAAATTTGTAAGAAACTTTTCCAATGCATTCGTTTTTTTAAAAATTAAAAAAAAATCAATAAACCACTAAAAAGCGAGTGTCAAACCACTCCAAAATTAAAACACATCGCTTTTGATAAGGGAATGCATTATCTACAAAATTAAGTCCTTGGTCTTACTTTCGGAGTGCTACACCATATAGTTTAATTGTTTGTCAAAATTGAAGAGATCAACCTTTTTTTACTTTAGGAGTGCTGAACCATATTGTTTAATTGTTTGTCAAAATTGAATGCATAAAATCAGTTTGAAAATCTCTAATAAATTATAGAAGTTTTGAGGGTCCATCTTGTCTCATGTTTTAAGATCAAGATTGGACTGTCTAGTCCGGCCCATAGACTCAATTTTGGATCCCATTTCGATAATTCGAACCGCTCAATGTGTAGAACTCGTTGAGTACTATATCCCTGTAAAAAATCACGTAGATCGGATATTAATAGCTATTTCATCGGATCAGATTTCTGTCAATCGTTTATTTTCTCACTGTCCATTGTTTTATTCAAATCTAATCCGATCAAATAGTTATCAATATCCGATCAACGTGATTTTTTACGGGGATATAATATTCGACGAGTTCTACATATTAAATAGTTTGGATTATCGAAATAGGGCCCAAAAATGGGCCCATAAGTCAGACTAAACGGTCCTATCTTGATCTCAAACATGAGACAAGTTGACTAAATTTTAAATCTCCCAACCCTAAAGGTCAAAGTCAAGAACTATTTTCTTCACTCTACCTGACTTATTCATATCTTCCTCTCTCCTTTTCCTCTTGCATCTGTGCGCTTCATTTTATGTATTTATTTTATTTTATTTCATTATATTTTATTTTATTTGTAAGAAAAGACTACATGCACCCATAAAAATGACGCATTTAACAAAAATAAGTTTTTTGTGATGAAAATTACAAATTTTTTGATGTGTGTATCATGTCACTTTTGTGATAAAAGTTACCAATTTCCTTTATCCAACTTCAAAAAATAATCATATATTTTTATCATATTTTGACCAAACCTCATAATCTCACTCTATCTATCCAACCATTTATCTTATCTAGTTATTGCATGATATAATTCATTCTCATACTAATTATATTATATATTGAATCTTTCTTCTTATCAAATCAATAGTATAACTCAGTGTCATAATTCTATCATAGAAACGAAAAATCTTTGGTACACAGGGATATATCATATGTACCTAGCTATACATTTGTATAGTACATATTATACATTTTGGTGATAATATTATGTAATTTTTTAATAGAATTACATGAATTTATAATTTAAAATTGAATTATGCATTTTGAGATAATGTTATATTTTCTTTCATTGAAACATATTTGAACCACAAAATATGTAACAATATTATAAAAATACATAACATATTTTTGAATCACAAATCACAAACGATTGGTCTGTTGTTTAAGACTCAAAGTCTGACATGTATTCACTCCATAATTTCAAATTTCAAACCTTCCAAATGGTTGGTGGTTTGATTTCTTAAATTAGTCGGTCCATTAAATCAAAAATCAAATTATCTATATATATTTAGAAAACACAAATTATTGTAAGTCTGTTAAAAGTTATTTAATATGGAAGACGCACTATGAATAGTCCTCTTTGATGAGGAATATATCTCCAAGGCGATTGAATCAACGGTGAAAGACCAAATAAAAAAAGCACACCTGAATTGCAAGTCATCGCATATTTTGCCTTTGAATTGGGAAAAGGTCGCTTCTTTCTTCCATCCTAGAATTTACGTTAGGGGGTCACTTTTGGAGTAGCCATTAATTATTATTCGTTTCGTCTATAAATACCTTTACGCTCTCTTCTTCCACGCTCATCTCATCAACCCTAATTAAGCTTCCCTCTCAATTCGAACAAACTCATCCCTTTTTCTCTCTTAATTACTTATTAATGGCGACACCAGTAGAAATCTCGACTCTCGAACTCATCGAACAACACCTCCTCGGCGAGTTCTTTCCTCTTGACAGCTTTGATGTCAATAGCCTCCGCGACACCAACTCGATTTTCACAGCATTTGATTCTACAACCAGTGTTCAAACTGAGGGTTCAAGCTCTCAATCTTATTCCTTCTGTTCACAGACTGCAAGCTGTGACTCTACCATCGTAATCTCTGATTACCTGGATTCCAACGAAGTTAACAATACTCAATGTTTTGATTTTGTCCATAACTCGATTAATTTTGACCAAAACCAAATAAATTTCTTTGGATTTGAGTCGAAGCCTCAAATAATCGATCTTACAACGCCGAAACCAGTTAATTTGAACATTCAGTCCAGTTCTAGGTTGAGTTTCAGCGAGCGCAAGCCGTCGTTGAAGATCGACCTAGCTCCGGTGAAGAAATTCGAGTGGTTGGAGTTCGGGCAGCCGACTAAGCCAGCAGTTTCCGTAGAGAAACCGTTTACTAGGCACTACAGGGGAGT